CCACTCAGTAGGCTACCCAACCTTACAGCATAGCTATCTGGGGCTACACCAAGCAGCTCAGCTACCCGCTCAAACCTAACAAGGTAGGAGGCGATGTCTTCTCCATCACGGTACACAGGCAAGCTGGGTTTTACCACATTGTCTTGTATAAGGCCAGAGGATTCTGGTCTACTTGAAGCATTAATCCTAGCCAGTTCTAGGTCCTTTTCTGCCTGCGACTTAGCTAATTCGAACTCTCTTTCTCTCTCTTTCTGACGTTCCTCTCCCTCTCTCTCTTTCTGACGTTCCTCTCTCTCTCTCTCTTTCTGACGTTCCTCTCTCTCTTTCTGACGTGCCTCTCTCTCGGCATTCTGTTGGGTGACCACATACTGACCAATGTCATTACCTGTCAGACCCAGGGCCACCGCTTGACCTTTCCACACCTCAAAAGTAGACATAATGATCCGAAATGCCAAGAACAAAGGAAAAAAAAAAACAACTTACCCCGCAAATAGCCAAAGGTAACTCACCTAGTGGCTCAATCAGACCAGTAAATGATTTGATCCGACTGGAGGGAACCTCGTTCCGCACCCAGCCCAGCTGAATCACCTCAGGGTAACGAAACCGCACCAGGTGAAACAACAACAAAAATGCTATGACAGCATCCACAGTGCACCCCAACCAACACTAATTAACTTCCCCAAGTACAAGGAAGAGCAACAAAATTAGCACACAGAAGGAAGGGATAACCACTGAACAACACTTGCTTCCGGGCCACAGGCAGCAAGGTGGCGCGCTCACGGCGACTTACAACAACACCGGAACGAATGTTAAACCTCAGAAACCAAAGGTCAGAGACAATCCTGGCAAGGTCGCCATTTGTAAAGGCCTGGGACTTAGGGATAGAAATCCCTTACCAGGCTAATCAGGATCTTAATAAAGGAAAGTCAAGGACCATGGTTTTCCGAGGAATAACAAACAACCGTTAGAGATTGGCATCTCTTTACTATAAAAATATAACACAAAACTCTGACACCACTCAACAAACATCAAATAATTACGGGAGTCAAACAATTAATGGAAGCAACACTTAAAGGAATCAAACAAATAATGGGAGTCAGCAATTAATGGATTCAAACAATTAAATGGAGTCAACAATTGATAGAATCGAACAATAAAGGGGAGTCAGCAATTAATGGAATCAAACAATGAACAAATATTTCCTACGGCAGTGGCCCTGGGGGAAGGTTCTGGAACACGGTGATGCACACTCAGGATAGGGAAGCGTCCACTTCAATTCCACACTCAGCGACGTCTTGAAAAGGCAGGAGAACACCGGGGCACCGACGGAATGTGATGAACTGATGGTCGTGGTATGCGGTAGTGGTAGATGACCAGAGAGTTGGCAGTTGATAGGTGAAGGTCTGGGAACACAGCCCACGAGTCCAGGACCTATGATGAGATCACAGCCAGAATTTGACGGACAGCAGGGTAGCTAGATACTGACGGTATGGCGGCTGGGTTGAATCTGCCGGTGGCGGAGATAGTCGCTGCCGTTCTCACCTCCGTCCAACCACCCCAAGTGTCGTCTGCACCAGCAAACGAGCGAGTTAGCAGCGGTAACCAGCCGGAGGATCGTTTCCGCCCTTACAACCCGTAAGAGACGGTAGGACTACTTTATATTTTCAAGGCATCCCATTGTTCAAGCACGCGCTCAACTGCTGCTTGCAAGGACAGCCATAGAGTAGCACACGCATGTAAGATTTTGTGTGGCTTAAGGTCCAGAAAAGTTTGGGCAAATTTAAATTCATATCTCCTTTTGACACTGTAGGAGAAGTGTGTATAAATATTTCTGATTAGGTCTTCGCAATGTCGTGGTAGATATTTTACTGATTCTGAATTGAATTGAATTGAAACAGTTTATTTAGCCAGAAAAACACAGATACAGAGTGGATAATAATAACAATATTAACATGGCTGAGCCAGTTGAGAACCTGAGCTCTCTTGTAGGCACCTGATATATACTATACCTGATATATACTATACATTTATCTCAAGGAAGTATTATGTAACATTTAGTATCATCTGGAATAGTACAATAGCCTGGTGGTAATAAGAACATCTCGTAATGTTACCACGGTTATCACTTCAATATATATTTATTTAATTTATTTATTATTATTTTTTTATATATACATAAATTACAGTGGAATTAAAAAAAAAACATAAGGATTATGGGGGAGCAGTACAACATGGGTTGTATAGTAATAAGGTTGAACAAGAGGACAGAGCTATCAGGATTATGTCGAGTTGGCAATTACAGTATGTTTATTGCAATGGTAATTTCTTATCTATTTACATGATAATTTCCGATAAAACGGTTTTGATGGTACAATAAAAGCAGGTACTGTAAATATAGTAGGTGTTACTTCGACAATAGATATTTTTTAAGAGATGATTTAAAGGAAGGGAGAGTAGTCTTTGCTCGGATGGGTGGGGGTAAGTTGTTCCACACCTTCACACTGTGATATTTTATGGAGGTCTGGTGCACATAAGTGAATGCTATGACATATATACATTTATTTTAATATATACAATTTTATTCTTCGATGACGTGGCACATATTTGAATATGTAACATAATATAAGGTATTAAATAAAACAGCCATATGAATATAATGTAATAATATTTATTAAAATTTTAATGTAGAATAAAGCTTATTTTGATTTGTAGAATTTATGAAGAATGGGCGTAGAATCTGTCTAGAACGTGGGTTTATGGTGACTAACTCGCAACCAAAAAACCACTTTACTTGTCAAAGGTCACTAGAAGACTACAATTCGGCAACACTGACTGACACTCTGTTGGTGTAAACCCCAGCCAGGAGCTGGTGAATGGCTCTATCATCATGCTTAGCCCAGGGACTCGTTTCGAGAACTGCTTCGGAGGATGCTTCGAAGCCTTGTCACACGAGACTCGAGCGGATTTCTGACACACATCAGCAAAATGGCCTCGTTTGCTGCCTGGGAACAGTCAGGTCAGTCCCCAGTAGGAAGGGGTGAGGTCATAGATGACACAACAATTGATCATGACTATAATATATTCACTAGTATACTACATAAAGCACAAGAACAAAATATACCATACAGAAAAATTAGGTCAGATAAGAATGAGCCAAGGTGGATGACCAGAAAACTTAAACATGGCATAGGAATAAAGAAAGGAATTTATAAGAAATTAAAGGGGCGGGAGGAACATCTCAGAAATAGGTAAAATGAACTATCTAGGAATGTTAACAAAAATGTAAGGGAGGCAAAGAGGGACTACGAAATCAGGATAGCAAGAGAATCGAAGGCGAATCCCAAGAGATTTTTCCAGGTATATAGGACAAAGGTCAAAGACAAAGTGGGGCCTTTAAAGTCAGAGAGAGGGGAAGTGAGGAAATATGCAAAGCATTAAACAGCTACTTCTTATCAGTTTTCACAGAAGAAATTCACGAGGAAATTCCAGAGGTGGAACTGATATTTAGGTGAAATGAAGAAGAGAAATAAAAAAAAATATCACTATCAGAAAAGAGGATGTTCTTAAGAAGATAAATAAATTAAAGAAGACAAATCCCCAGGGCCGGATGAAATTTTCCCTCGAGTTTTGAAAGAGTGTAAGGAACAGATTAGCGGACCCCTCGTGCCAGACTTGTGGAAAAAGGCAAATGTAGTACCCATATTCAGAAAGGGAGACAGAGCATCAGCGTCAAATTACCGGCCGATTAGTTTGACGTCAATAGTGGGGAAATTTCTTTAATCAATTATAGCAAATAGCATCCGATCGCATTTAGAGAAAAGCAAATTAATCTACTACTCTCAACATGGGTTTACAAAGGGAAAATTTTGTCTAACAAATTTGCTGACGTTTTTTAGGAAAGTCTTCGAGGTAGTAGATAATGACGAAAATTACGATGTTATTTACTTAGACTTTAGCAAAGCGTTTGACAGAGTACTGCATCAAAGGCGTCTGAGAAAAGTTAAGGCTCATGTTATCGAGGGGAAAGTTTTAAATTGGATAAAATCATGGCTCACAGATAGAACACAGAGGGTCTGCGTACAGGGGGGGGGGGGTAGATGGTGTTAAATCTGAGTGTGGCTATATAACCAGTGGGGTTCCCCAGGGGTCAGTACTGGGCCCACTCTTGCTCATAATCTACATAAACGATCTAGATACTGGGATCAACAGTGACGTAAGCACGGTTGCGGATGACACCAAAATAGGGCGGCAGATTAATTCACGGCAGGATGCAAATGCACTACAGGAGGATTTAAATAAACTGCAGGAGTGGTCAGAAAAATGGCAAATGAAATTTAACACCAGCAAGTGCAGTATACTTAATATTGGAAGAACAAATACTGTCAATGTATATAGCCTTAACAATATCAACCTGGAGAAGTCGACTTGTGAAAGAGACTTAGGGGTACTTGTAAGCCCGGACTTGTAATCCCTGGAGTCATTGGGTCCATAGATTGCATTCATAGAGCAATTTTCAGGCCAATATGCAACACAACCCATAAATCTTTCGATGTAGAAAAGGATTCTTTTCTGTCAATGTCCAGGCTATCTGTGGACCAGACTTATTATTTCATAGTGTTGTTTCTCGTTGGGTTGGAACGGTGCAGCTAACTAACCGGCAGGTCGGGCGGCTTAATCTTATAGAGTTTTAGAAAAAATTACAAAGTAAATAAACTTAATAGTGAAGTTCCACTGAAATTTCACAGAACAACATTAAAGAGCCACACAAAATTAATACGAAGGAAAGTGTGTATGAAAAGCTCGTCGGGTCGGTACAGTAGTGCCATATACTGTACACATATCTATATATTTAAACCATTATTACCAAGAGGCCTACAAATGCTCTGAAACTGGAAGATAAGTCTGTTTAACAAACTTTTGATTCAGACAAACAGACTCACATGTATTCTGTTCCCCATTTTGGGTGACTGGTGGGAAGTAAAGGGGAATGAAAGCACATATAACATTTAGTGTAACGTATTGTTTAGTGAGATATGTTAATAACTCCTTTAGCCTGCTCCAGGAGTGCCCTGGACTGTAGGTAGGTACTTGATGGTATTTCTGAGGTCATTGGCGCGGCAACAGAATATTTTATTTACTTTCACATTCAGGTTTGGGCATGGAAAACACGCACACTTTGCATTCTTCACGTCAGTACAAAATGGGGCGACATTCAGTTTTGCTCCTGTAAGAGTTCCTTTTCCAGTGATGTCGTTGACCGAAACTATGAGCTCAGAAGACTGTTGGCCAGGGTCGTAGATCATCTGCCGAAAATATACAGGATTTGATGATAATTGTTATAAGCACATAATTATTATCTATATCGTGATGCTGCCCAAGACAGTCGTACACTTTACTATATTAGTTAAGATTAGAGTAACATTTTAATCAAGTTCTTTCAAATTCAAAAAATTATTACTAAGTACCATCCTGGTGTAACAATGTCATACATGGTTATTACAGCCATTTTCAACCATTTTCTCTAATATTGATAAGTGTTAACAACTCTGAATTTTGCATCAGAAGGCTACAACACACGCACTGTAACTGCAGTCTAAGAAATATATAACATATATCTCTATTCAATCTCAATTTCAATTGTTTATTCCTTGATTGAGGAAGCGGGATCCTAGTGCTGTCACTAGGTACCCCTGTACAATGACACCAGAAGCATCTGGCAAGTGTGAAAAGTATATACAGTATAAATATTATAAAGGGGCTTACTAAAGCCTAAGGAAGGAAGGATATTCCTTTAACACATAATCAATATTATTTACAAAATATCTGGCCAGTATGGGGAGGATCATCGTGTCTCCGTCAGGGGGTCGTGGAGTGGTGGTCCAGCAGGCGTCACGGAAGCGTTGTGTGTGGGGACATCTTAGGAGGTAGTGAATAAGGGTGCTGCTGTCGGGTCTTCTGCATAACGCACAAGAGCGTTGCTCAGGGGATGCGGGGATACCAATCTCCCAAGCAAAGTCATACCCAATGATGATACGGGCAGCAATCACGTCCCCTTTCCGCGACCCTTTCCCGTAGACGTACGAGAGATCAGGAAGTTTACGGAGGACATGGACATCGTACCAGGTGGGCGGGGAGTCCAGGGGGATGGCTGCTTCCCGAGCTTCTCTCTGTTTGCGGCGGATTTGGGTCCTAATCTGTAAGAGTGTTCGAGGAACAACGTAGTCAGGTGTGGCCTTGTTGCAGCCAGTCTTGGCAAGGTCATCTACTGCCTCATTCCCCAAGATACCGACATGACTAGGTATCCATAGGAATGTCACAGGACGGCCTGCATCCTGAAGTGTGGATGTTAACCCTCGTATTCGGAGGATGAGGTCCTTATTTTCCCCTGATCCAAATGCGATCCCGTCGAGAGCAGACCTGGAATCGCAGCAGACAAGCAAGGGGCAGAAACCATCTGCTTCTTCCTCAGCGAGAAGGGCAGCAAGGAGGGCTATTAGTTCAGCCTGAGTGGAGGATGCCCCGTCAGAAACTCTGAGAGACAGTTTGATAGGCTCAGGGGCATGAGGACGGGAGATGTAGACACCAGCCCCGGCCCTACCTGTAGCGGGGTCAACAGAACCATCAGTGTAGAGGACGACCCTACCTGGGGACCAGTGAGCGATCCTGGAGAGGTGGTATTTGCAGAGAATAACAGGGTTCACCTGGGATTTCGGGAGCGGTCCACCGAGGGCAATCACTTCAGGTTGAAAATCCAGCCAGGGAGAAGGAGACGAACCAACAGCAGGGGTGACAACAATATCAGGCAGGAGGTCGTGTTCCTAAAGGGCTCGGATGAGTGACCCTCGCCACTGTCTTCTAGATGGAGATCGGTCTCGGACAGCAGGAGTCAAGTTGGTTTGGACATAGTTGCCCCGAGGATCCCGTAGAATGGAAACAGTAGTTTTTAGGTAAAACTCCTGGACACGATCCTGTAAGGGGGAAAGACCAAGTTCGGTATTGTGGTGGGATGCAATCCTAAACAAGGTTCTTCAAACTCCAGGGCACGAGCAGTAGATATATTCCATAAGTAGTACAAGACTTGGCAGGATAACCAACAGATACAGAAGCAGGAGCCAGCACAAGGGACTCCTCGTCGTAACGAGGCCTGGGCCGATCTGAGGGAAGTTAGCTAGCTAGGCAAGGAGAGTTGCTAGACATTACTAGGACAATAAATGAGGTCTTCTAGTTACTTGACTAGCGCGGTACAGACATAGTACATCGGGACATAGTAAGTGAACATAGGCATTAGACATAAGCATAGATATCAGACATGCTATAATAATATGTAGTAATACAGACATATGAATAAATGGTACACTGAATGGTAACAGAGTCTTGCCATCAGGCGTGTTCACATATCTTGGTATTTACATATCTATACAGGTATATAAAGAAGTAGAGCGTGTCCACTGAGGAGCCCCAAGGATGATACGAGCAGCTTTCCTCTGGATAACTTCGAGACGGTTGACAGCAGTCCGACTAATGTTGACGAGGGCAGGGGCGGCGTAGTCGACACAGGAACCGACAAAGGACTTGTACATGGTGAGAAGTACAGGGATGGTGGCACCAAGGGAACCCCTACACATGGTAGAGAGGGGAGCGATACGCCGAAAGCATATGTCGCGAAGATAGCGGGCTTCAGGGATCTGACAACGTATGCGAGTTACATACACACCCAGGTATTTTGTCTCATTAACCCAGTCCAAGGGCGTTCCTGATAAGAAAAAGGGTGGAGGTACAACACGACCGTGCCACATGGCTTTTGTTTTCGCAGTTGAAAGAAGGAAACCAAGTGAATCACACTCTCTGGAGACCAGATCAAGGGCTTCCTGCATGCTGAGGTAGTCAGGGGCTTGGAGGAGGACATCGTCGGCATATCCTGAGTGGACAACTTCTGTCGGCCACGGGAGTGATGCAATGGAGTGCATGAGAGTGTTAAACAAGGTGGGACTCAGGACTCCACCTTGAGGGGTGCCGAGGTTCATTTCTTGAACAGGAGACATAGAGCCTTCAACGCGAACCCGGGCCTGACTTCCAGTGAGGTAAGAGGCGATCCATTGTCTCCCTTTAACCCCTAACCGCCCAAGTTCAGCTAAAATGAGGGCAGGCCGAGCCGTATCAAAGGCTCCCTTGATATCAAGGAAGACGGAGATGCGGGCAGTCTGATTGCAGTAAAAGGAAGCAATGGAGTGTGCTGTGCTGCGATGTTGAATGAAACCATTGAGGGAGTTGTGGAAGCCGCCTATGGTGTGAAGAAGGCGACGATGGAGGTAAGACTAATGGGTCGATATTTCCCAGGATCTCCCGGCTTAGGGATGGGGATGATAGTGGCATTTTTCCAGTTGGACGGGAGAACCCCATGTTCATAAGACATATTGTAGAGAGCAAGCAAGGGGCCGTTAGGAATATTAGTACAGGCGTTGAGGACGGAGTAGGTTATCTGATCATCCCCAGGAGAGGTGTCTTTTCTAGAGCGACGAGCACTGTCAAGCTCGAACTGTGTGATGGGATGATGAGTGGGGGCAGGGGAGGTAAGAGCAGCACGAACAACAGGCTCAAACGCATCGATGCGAGCCTGCACTGCCTCCTGCATTGGATCTGGAAGTGCCTCAGGGGAGGGAGCTCGTGCCCAGTCCTCCATTAAAGAGCAGGCAAGGGAGGCGGGGTCAGGGTGGGGAGGAGGCCTCCGTCGAGTACCCCGTATAGCATTAATCCGATTCCATACATAAGAGGGTGACGACTGGAACGATAGAGACCCCGTGAAGGATAGCCAGTCCGCCTCACGTATCCGACGGCGCTCCTGAGTTGCAAAGGAGCACCAATTTTTGAAGTCTTCCCAGTCCTCTGGAGACCGAGACCTCCGTATGGCAGAGTGGAGATCACGGGTTACCTGCCGGAGATGTCTCATGGCAGGGATACGATACCAGTAGTTGGTGGCACTTCTGGGGTGACGGGAGGGCGTGGAGGGGTAGCGCGATTGACAGAGTCATACACGGCATCAACAAAATCAGCGCTGTAAGAGTCAAGGGACTGGGTGACAACATAGGAATCCGCCCAGGTAGAAAGGTATTGGGTAAAGGAAGGAACAGCATCTTGTGTGAGATGAAGGCGAGGGGATCGATAAGGAGTTGATGTCGGGGCAGAGAAGGAGAGCCTGATATGGGTAGTAACGGCAAGATGGTCACTATACAGAGCAGGCTCGGTGCAGACGGTAAGATGAAAGGAGGTATGACCGTTCAATAGTAAGCCAACATCAAGGAAACTATGGGCGAGGCGAGTAGATCAGACAACAATGACCCTAAATGGATTAATAACTATTTAAGGAACATCATTGGCCAAAGGAAGGCTATAGGTAGAAGGATAAATCGTGGCGAAATTCACCTCCGGGACTATTATAGGGTATTGGCGAGTAGGGTTAAAACCGAGATAAGGAAAGCAAAGAGGAATAATGAAGTAAGGATAGCAAGGGAGGCGAAGACAAACCCCAAAGGATTCTACCAAATGTATCAAACTAAAACACGAGAAAAGATTGGACCAATACGGTCAGACACCGGCGAGCTCACTGATAACGACAGAGAAATGAGCAATAATTTGAATAAATATTTTTCAACAGTTTTCACCACCGAAAATTTAAACATGATACCCGAGGCACCGACTCTATTCAGAGATAGTGAAGAAAACAAATTAAGCGAGATAGTAGTGACTAGTAACGATGTTAGTAAGCAAATAGACAAACTAAAGCCTAATAAGTCACCTGGTCCCGATGAGATATTTGCCAGAGTATTAAAGGAATGTAAGGAAGAGCTTAGTATGCCCTTAGCAAAGTTGTTTAACATGTCCTTAAAAACAGGTGTAGTACCAGAATCCTGGAGGATAGCGAATGTAATACCGATTTTCAAGAAGGGGGATAGATCACTATCCTCTAACTACCGACCAATCAGTCTACCATCAATAGTAGGCAAATTACTGGAAGCAATCATTTCTAACTCTATTCGAAATCACTTGGAGAAGCACCGATTGATCAGTGAGTCCCAGCATGGCTTCACAAGCGGAAGTTCATGTCTAACTTATCTATTAACATTCTTTTCATCAGTTTTCGAATCGGTGGACGAGGGGCACAATTATGATGTGGTATATCTCGAATTTAGCAAAGCCTTCGACAGAGTCCCCCACGAAAGACTAATTAGAAAGGTAGAAGCACATGGCATCAAAGGTAATATCCTTAAATGGATTAAGGCGTGGTTACAGGACAGGAAACAGCGAG